CAATGGATATCCAGGGTGGTTTAGTGGACAGCATAATGGACTAGGAATTAGAAGTCCTGGGTTTTAATCCCTGCTCAATCATGGAAACTCACCGAGGGTGTGGAAGTGGTAAAAGCACTCCTTAAATATTTCACTTACAGTGGTGCCTCGACTTACGAACGTCCCTACTTACGACCATTTTGACTTACAAACAGCTCCGGTCACACAATTTTGCTTCGACTTGCGACCGGAGCTTCAACTAACGACCAGAAAAAAACACAGGGAAGGCAAGGAAAGCAGTTTAACCGTTGGTCAGCAAAGAGACTGCTTGTCTGCTACCTCATTCGCCCCAGAGGTTAGAGAGTGTGGATAAGGAGAGAGACTTCAGACTGCCTGGTACTGCCTGGTATTGTACTGTATGTATTTTTTTTGCTTTTTTAATTTTTGTTTTTTGGATTGTTGACTTTCTTTTTTAAAACAGAGAGACTGCTTGTTCTGGGTGAGTACACTTTTATGATACGATAAGCCTTTATTGGCATTAGGTAGAAACTCAGGGGAAATAGACACAATCAACATTAATGAGGAAGTACAAAATCATGAAAAGTGAGTACACTGTATTTACTGTACAGTGGTGCCTCGCATAGCGAGGTTAATCCGTTCCGGATTAACCTTCGCTATAGCGAAACATCGCTGAACGGGACAGGGAAAGCCATTGGAATGCATTAAACATCGTTTAATGCGTTCCAAAAGGCTCCTTTACTCACTGTTCAGCGAGGTTTCCTATGGCCGGCAGCCATTTTCGCACCCTCGTTAAGCGAGGGGAGGGCGCGAAAACGCTGCGCGCGGCCATTACGGAGCTTCCGGCAGCCATTTTGTCCGCCGAACAGCTGATCGTCAGGGCTTCGTTTTGAGAAGATCGGTAAGCGAAACGCTTACCGATCTTCGTAAAGCGATTTTCGCCCTATCTAAACGACGTTGAGCGATCGCATTAGCGATCCAAAAAAACAGGGTTTTTGCAGCTTGGATTTGGACTAGGTGAGGGGGTTATGTTTCTGTGCACTGATGGGTCTTGTAGTGTGGATTTAAAATGTGAAAAGTAGACTGTAATATTAAATTAAAATGTGAAAATTAGACTGTAATATAAAAATGTAAAATTTATTTATTTATTTTTGCATTCCATGGCTCCTAGGGTTTGTGTACTGTGATCTCTCTTTTGTTTTAAAATGTGTGGGTTTATAATGTGACTCCAAAGTCTTTTTGTTTTAAAATCAGAACATTTTCTGCAAGGATCTGTGGTGGCTGGCATGGTGTAAAATTGGGTTTAGATGAAAGTCTCCCCCCTCCCAATTCTCTCTCTCTCTATGTTCTTTTTTTGTGCTGAGGGGGTCTGTTTGCTGGAATAATAGTTGCTGGATTCTGTGCAGTGGTGGTATTCAAATAAATTAACAACAGGTTCTATGTCCTAATGACCATTTTAACTATACCAAAAGATATACTGAAAGGTAGTTTAATAATTCACACATTAAATACTGTAATAAGAACAGTAAAAGAGGTACAGACAACCAGATTATGTTTAAAGGAAGATTTTTAATATTAAATACCTGACAAACAGTTATTGAAGATATTTCCATATTGCTGTTTGATTGATAGTACATTAGGTACATTGGTAGTACATTCTGTAGAACCGGTGCGAACCGGCTGAATCCCACCACTTTGTATAATGACTTGGAACTTTTATAAATATTTACCTAAAATAAAAAGGAATCTAATCACAGTTATGTTTCAACTGGGGTTAACCGAGTTTAGGGCAAAAGCGAAAATCAATCTATCCAGCAATAAAATAGGGGAAACAAGTTAACGGGAAACAGAAAGGGCCCTTTTTGTTGCAGGATGTGCTATTTCTTCCTTTTACAGATTGGAATATGCTTAATAATCTGCAATCAACACTTGCATTGAATGCTAGCTAGAGCTGGACAGAGAACAGTCCTCTTGTATACTATAGCTCCTTGCATACTGAGGGTGCTGGAGAAATTAACAAAATAACTTCAGTCAAACTATGCGACAGGTGATCCCCAGGTAAAATAAAAAAATAACTTCAAATAAATAACTATGCGACAGGTGATCCCCAGGTAAAACAGCTGGACAAAAATTTCCACTGCACCAGTGCTGCATTTTTGTCATCCACAATGTAAAGGAGCCTCTCCTAACTCCTCCCACCCAAATATGGCCATGATGACTGGGAATCGGAATTAGTGTGCAATATTCATTATTCACACTGAGGAAGGGCTGCTGTGACAACTTAAAAACTAGAATTACTTTTTCCAAACAAGTGTTATTCTTCCATAGAAGTTCTTAGGAAGACATTCATTAACATGAGAACAATTGATGAGAGGTCTGTTCAGTTGCTAATAAGATGCTTCCTCTCATTTTTCTGAAGATGTTGAGGTGGCATTTCTTTCTTCAAGCCCATCTTTCCAGCAGCTACAGTGTTCACCAAAGATACTTGTCTGTACACCTCACCACTGATGGATATATAATCATCAGAACACAGCATAGCCTCAATCACCTTGCTATCAAAACCTCTGAGCGGTCTGTGTGCCCCAGTGATGACCTTCTTACTTTCCTGTTTTCCCCATTATTGTTGCCTCCCTCTCTGCCCTTTTTTTAACCTAAGCCATTTTAGGTTTTAAAAAAATTCTCCCCCAAGAGGTAGAGGACGGATTAACCGGTTTTGCATTTCGTTCCTGTGGGAACGAATACTTTGACTTGCAACCGGCACCTCTACATACAACCAAAAAACAGGAAGAGATTAATCGGGTTTCACTGTATTTCAATGGGAATGCTGATTTGACTTACAAGCATTTTGACTTACGACCATCTTCTGGAATGGATTATGGTTGTAATTTGAGGCACCACTGTATCTTGAAAACTCCATTAGGGTCACAATAAATTGATTCCAACTTGACAGCATTTAACAAGAAGAGTAATGACTTGATGGCACATAACAACAGAACAGTGCTCCAGGTAGTAACTATTTACAGCATAATACCCTATTTCCCTGAAAATAAGACCTGACCTGAAAATAAGCGCTAGTATGATTTTTCAGGATGCTCATAATATAAGCCCTGCCCCCAAAATAAGCCCCACTTAAGTGAAACCCTGCCCTTCACCATTGTGCAGCAACCAGAAGATAATATGATTGTATTTGAATAAATATAGATTGCTGTACCTTAAGTAGCATCTTAAAGATTAACTGCTATATTTTAATGTGAGCTTTCGTGGACAAGTCCACTTCCTTAGACTTTTGTTTCTGCCTGATATGCTAGTACAGACTAACATGACTACTTCTTCTAAAACTTAAAATAAAAGACAGTGTAAACTAAACACTTGTATGTAAACGACACTTATGCTTTAGTCCTAAATGCCAAAGAAAATGCTACTGAGCAAAAGAAGCTCAAAGACAGAATTCAATGCAAAATAGTCGAAGAATTTATCAAGAAGTTTGATTTTCTGTCCTGAAGGTTACATAGAGACAAAGGCTTTTACTCTCACAATGTGTGTTCTTACCTTTCCACTGTTTGTTAAAGCTCACCAAAATGATTATCTCTTAGAGATTTATTGCACTTCTATCCCGGAGCATATAGATTAAAATCCCCCCTCCAACCAATTATGTATAAGATTGAAGTGTACCTGACATGTGGGAATCCGCAAAAACTTCATGTCAACTAAAATGGGTTAGTCTGTAAGGTTCCATTACAGTGACGACACATGTTATATCCTAAATACATTTTTCAGAAGGAGTATAGCCAACTAACCGCAAGAGGAGTTATTTCGAAGGACAAATGTACAGAATCAACCTGTATACCTTTCAAATATAACTAGATATTTGTGTGTGTTCATTTGCAAAAACAAATATGAGTACCTTTCCAGGTTGATTTCTCACCTTACAGGATCACAGTACTTTGAGAACAGATAATCCTGCACAATGTTGGTTCCACAACCTCCGCCCGCAAAAGGGAAGCAGGAGAAAAAAAGGTTTAGAAAATTGTAGACCATGGAATCAAAACACACATGAATTAAAACAAAAAGCAAAAACAAAATGTATTGCTTATATACGGCCCCAAAGCGCTTTAAGTAGAGTGTACTATGTCTAGATGGGCGGCATATAAATGCAATAAATAAATAAATAAATAAATAAATAAATAAATAAATAAATAAATAAATAAAATTAAGAACTCTCTGGGTGACTTACAATTTAATGATACGGGCTACACATTTCCTCCCCCCTCCCCGCGAACTAGGTACCCAGTTTACCATTCTCAGAAGGATGGAAGGTTGAGCTAAGCAGGATCGAGCTCAGCTCATGAGGAGAGGCTTGACTACAGTACTGCAGTTTAACCATTACACCAGGAGGCTCCTTCCCCAAGTTTCCTACCACCCAAATTACTATTTTACCATTTTCTTCAGTATAATAATCCACTCATAAATATATTGGAAATCGTGTTGGTTGTTGTGGTTTTTTCGGGCTCTTTGGCCGTGTTCTGAAGGTTGTTCTTCCTAATGTTTCGCCAGTCTCTGTGGCCGGCATCTTCAGAGGACAGCACTCTGTGCTCTCCTCGCGAATATATTGGAACTCATTTAATTTCTACAGGGCGTTAAAGCAGGAATCAAGCTTGAAAACGACTGATTGAGACTCAAAAGAAGCCAGGTCCATACAGTACTGTATATGAGATTTCTTTGCCCTTACAAAATGTGGCCGCACTTCCTCGCTCTCGCCTCTTTAAAGATTATAAAGTGAGCCCGAACACGCCCCTTCCCTATGAGCTCGGCATTGAAAAAAAAAAGAACTGTCATGCCCTTACCAAAGATGGCAGAAAAGCCTACCCCCACCCACTCTTCTTTACGACGCCCCCTTCCTGGCGCTTTATGAAAACATACGGAACGCCCATCATGCCCTTAACCAAGATGGTTAAGCAAACGTCCACACGCTTTAAAAAAAATGTTGTTATTTCCGGCTGCCGGAGAGGGGTGTGCGAGTGACTCGAACCCCGGGCCACGCCCCCTCACCCTGAGGTGACTGCGCGAGGGTGGGAGGCAGGCAGGCAAGCCGGCGTATGTACGCGTGGGCTATGTGTGCGCGCGCGGGGTGCTCGCGCCACTACCGCGGTTGTCTCGCGCGCGCCCTGACGAAGCGAGAAGGAGGGAGGGGGGAGAGAGAGAGAGAGAAACGCGGCGAGAACCGCCTCGCGCACCCTTACGGGCCAAACAGGGCCCCTCAGACGGATACGGAATCTCGCAGTAGCAACTGAGGCGGTCGGAGGAGTAGCGGCGGCGGCGGCGGCAGCAGAGTAGCAGTAGTAGCAGCAGCAGCCGCAGCGTGATGGCGGCAGCGTTGAAACGGGAACCGACTCCTCGTCTCTCTGGCTTTTCTTTCGCTGAACCCCAGAGCCCAAGGACGGCGGCGTTGATGGCAGCCCCTTGTCTCGGAGCGGCGTTGCGGTTACTCGTCGCGGTGCTTCTGAACGCGGCCCGGGCCGAGAAAGAAGGTGAGGAGACAAGGAAGGAGCGAGCGAGCGAGCAAATGAGCGGTGCCCCCCTCGCGGGCGCTGTTTCTTAATTACCCCAGGCAGGCGGCGGCGGCGGCAGGCATTTCACAGGCACGTCGCCCGTGGTGGTCATAACGACCCCCTCGTGTGTGTCGCCCTCAAGACCACTTCGGCTTCTTCGTCTG